AAAGACGACTTGTAAAATGAATCTGAATTAGGTATGAATCTGCTGAGGAACGTAAAAGAAAAGAAGTGTAGTGTGCAAGTGGGCACCCATCCAGCCACTTATCATTCTTGACATCGCTGAACTAGAGACTAAGAGGGTATGCATGCCTTCCAGGACCTGCATAGCTGGAAAAGCTTATTGCCAGTTAAACAGTACTTTCCCTTCAATACCTTTACTGTTATGCTTTCCATGTCCTGCAACTGTTAGTTGCTGATTTGATTTTTCTATGTAATTTATTATTTTTATTCTTAAATATCCTGTTCTAAGGAACCAAAATTACCAGAAAACATCAAGAAATCTTTTGAGGGGCACTCTACTTTTTTTGGAGCTTATATTAAGTTACAAAAACAGTCTGCTTTGTGTCAAATGGCTATAAAATCTGTAGTAGCCTAAAGAAACTGATTAAGTAAACCGTAAGTGGAACATGACTCACATAATCTCATTTATTATTATTTCAATAGGTGTCGTTATCATGTGTCAACTGAATGTTTCAGTTACATTTCATTTTTTGTACATGCCAAGTGTTAAACATTATTTAAATCAGCTGTAAAAGAAAAACATATCCATCCACATAATCGATCTATGGGCTAGTTTATAATGTGAAACTTGTTGAGCAGTTATTGGACTAAATGAGTGCGTTGGGACATTGAATTCAAAACAAATTATCTGCAGTCTACTGTACATGTCACAAGATTATAATCTATATTTACGACACACATGGTGTCTATCCAGACCAGATTGTGTCTGAAAATTAACATTGTACACATAAACTCGTGGCAACTTTTGATAATCATTAATCATAGAGCGGTCCCTCCATAAAGAATATGAATAACTACTTAAGTTTACAAAGTTACATACTGTATTCAGTTTCAAAGTGTCGAAGTTCACTCACCTGATTAAAGTTATTCAGTTCGTTTCTAGAGAGATTTGTAAGAATTTGATGTATCTGATGCAAGTAAACGTGTCCGGTAAGACTAGTTGTCTCGCTTTCCTGTTCATGTTTTCAATTCATTCTAATTTCACATCACGGGAACATGTAATTTTTCGTCATACAGGTAGCGTTTGATAGGTCTCCATAGGCGCTGTTACGGTGCTAGGACCTATGCGCACACTAATCTGCGCACATCGGAAACGCAATCCTATCTGTTCGGAGAACCCTTTAGACTTTTCCATTATAATTTGAGATAAAGTAAGAGAGCGTGTTTGCAGTGACATCTATTGGTAAATTCCGAACACAAACCAAGGGAAGTAATTCAAAAAGATAACTTTTTCATATCCTACTATCAATAGGGAAATTTGACAAATGCTTATAAAACTATTTTGATATTGATTTTAATTGAATATCAACTTTTCCTGGCATTTTCTGACTTAATCTTTGGTCTCCTATTCACTGGCCTATTTTTTCATTATTTTTTTTAGTTTTCATTTGACTACTATAATCAACATATCAACTAACTGGTCAACTTTGAAGTCGACAAGTTTTTTTGTGTGTCAATGTGAAAGCAGCAAATACATCACTTTTGAAGCATTTACATGTACTATATAATCATAGTCGTACACACATGTCGCTCTGAAGATGTTGTTTTCCATCTTTAAAATGACAGCAAAAACAAATATCGTCAACTTAATCGACAATGCTTGTCTAGTATATATAAAGCAGAATGCCGGAAACGCCGGAGTAGACCGGGGGGCTTCGCGCCTGGATTCTGAATTACCCCAACCCCACATCACCCCAAACTAACTTCACAAAATTCTGGATCTACGCCATATAAATAGCAATCAGGAAAAATGGCTTGTAGATATGTGCGTTACCATGCGGCATATTATATTATCAAAGTTGTACTTGGAGTATTACTAATGATCACGGAATTAGATTCCGTGTAATGATACAGCATTTTATCCTAATAGAGCGTGATTGAAATGGTTACTTACGCTCGAAACGTTTATCATAAATAATATTTTTAAGAAAATTTATTAAAACGAATTCAAGTTATTCGTAAGATTTAAAGGGAAACGTCAAAATCATTGTCAACTCTCATTAGCATGTAACATCACATACAGTCCGTCCACACTCATAATTAAAGCTGTCAACTGAAGTGACACTAAATTAAAGTAATTGGATATTTTGTCGCCGGTATGTCACAATCAAATAGTACTTAATGGTTGAACGTGACTGATTGCCTGGGTTGCGGAGCATATCCGAATGTCGACAAGCACTCGCATTTCTTTTCATATTATACATTGTATGTTACTCATGTTTGTTTTAACACCACATAGTTTAACGACGCCATAGAGTATTATTTATAATAAACTTATACGGAATCAAATCAAAAGTGTTGTGTACACACAGGTATACTGGTCAGGTAGCTCTAATTTATCACTGTAATTCCGTATATGATCAGCTTCCAGCTTAGATAGAACGCCACCTTAGATATTACGGTATTTACTGTGTGCCGGTAGTTGTATACATTGTAAAATATTTACAGTGTACTATTCGCTAGTCAGTATTGACGGTGTGTTTGCCATAAAAAATAGTTACTGTATAATTTTCTTAATATCAATTTTTACGGTATGCAAGTTGTTACACGACTTGCATACTTCATCGTTAAACAATCATACACAATTTAAGAATATTAATTATTAACATGGTAAATTTCATGTGACGGACATCAGAAATCTACTACAGTATACATAAACACAGAACGCAGGAAATACACGTCCTTTTAAGACCTTAGCTAATTATTAATCTTACGTGAAACAAAATAAAACCAAACCAGAGCAAGCGCAGAAAATATTAGCTAATGAAAAATGGCAAACGTTCATTATGAGCAGGCAAATATAACAGTGTAACAAAATTACAAAAGTAACATTAAAAGTAATCACAGAAAAGAAACATTATAAATAAACTTATAAAACAAAAGTTATAAAATTAAATGTGTGGCTTAAAGAAGAGACAATGAAGTTACTTAGTAGAAAATTAATTTTCTTAGTCCGATCTAGACGATGCGAACAAAAATAACAAGAGGTGCATAGTATATCAAAGTAACTGTGACATTAGCTATATATATGAAGCGAAGTAACTCCATTACGGCAATGGAAGTTATCTCCCTTGGATGTTTTATTAACACGCATTAAAACTAACCGAAAAGTCGATATAAATAGACAAAAGCACACTAACAGTAATAATATTGAAAACCGATCCTAAATCTAAGATGAACGCCGTCCCGGATTCCCTACATACAGCAGCTGGACGACCCAAAGTTTTCAGGAAGGTCGTTTGACAAACTGTTCAACAACTGGGCCGCCTCAAATCTGAGTATCTCTGTCTGTATAGGGGCTTGTTTTTGTTTTCGATATTCTGACTGTTTGATGTTGTCTGAAACCTTAGATCCGGAAACATATTTAAAAAGTCCTATAGATAATCTATTCTAAAAAAAGTATGACTTTCTTGGCTTCACATGATGACAGAACACTTGTTTGGTAGGAATACAGTAACATGCAGTTAAACATCAAAACATAACCCGCGCAACCAAGTCTAAAAAGTGGCAACACGTTCGCAGTTTCCAGTTACAAAACAATAATGATATAATGTTATAATGTCATTGAAAGAAATTCTTATAAAAGTAGCAGGCTTACTGGCAGTAGTTGAAAGATGTCAAAAAGAAAACGAATATTTCATAAGTGATGGGTTTGGCCTTCTTAGATAAGTCTAAACCTTATATAAAACTTTTCTACATATATTAGATATTTGGGTACTAAATTCCATCGGATCACTAGTACTGTTTGTTTCTACACTTGACATGTTTGCTTATCAACTAAGAAGCTAAAATCTTGACCGAATTTCACCCCTTTGCTATTAGCACGGACTAAGATAGCAATTTAATCTAATCTAATCTGTGATATTAGTTTGGAACTTGTTTGTTTTTTACTTTTATGCCATTTTTCAAGAACTTCTAAAACTATTCCTATCAGACAAACGCAGCATCACTATACGATCATATCGTTACAAATGTCTAATACACATATATGCTAAAATGATATGGGAGGGCCCACGGTGGCCAAGTGGTTAGTCGTCTGAAATTCTGCTACCACTATAGCCCTTCAGTTCGCGGGTTCGAGACCTACGTGGGGCAGTCGCCAGGTACTGGCCGTTGGTCGGTGGTTTATCCACCACCAAATCCTGGCACGTCCTTAAATGACCATAGCTGTTCAGTAAAAGGACGTAAAACACCAAAAACCCACACTGATGTGAGGCACATCACATACAGGTCACATGTATATGAGAGCGAGTTGTCGTCCGCATAGTTGTTCAGTGTAGCACTGTCAAAAAATGTCTTACATTATAAATGTATTGAAAACCGGTGGTCCGGGTATGATTAACTGATAGTTAGGTTCTATTGTCGAATATATAATTGTAGCATTATTTCTGCATTTTTGTATGCCTCGAATATGTTCTATTTCAATAAATTCATATTTCCAAGACAAATAAAACATCAATTCCGATTTTCAAAGGAACCCGTATTCTATTTTTGACTTTGATTTCCACGATCTTGCTGCTATTTCTGATATGGGCTATAACATGTACACAATGCAAGGATACAATCATCAGGTCTTTGGGTATCATGAGAAAAGTCCATCTGAACAACAAACATCTATAATAACTACCACGTAAATTTAAAGGAAAACATCCGAGTAAATATAAATTAAATATAAATTAAAATAGCTTTCACGTATTAAATGTTATGAAACTTATAAGAGTTAGCTCCCTTACACCACACAAGCGTCTTTATTCCATCTTTGCGTATTGCAGAGTTATCTTCTCTTGGGAGCAGGTATTGACTGTTACGTCACTTGTTTGTGAGAGTAACGTCATCAATTATTGAGAAAACGACGTAACTTTCTCACACAAACCAATGACGTAACAATCAATACCTGCTCCCACGAGAAGATAACTCTGCAATACGCAAAGACGGAATAGCTCGCATGCTGAACTTTGATTTCTGTCTAGCTCATAAGCAATAGCTCTTTTATGAAATGTTTTTGAAATTCCCCAGTAAACTTCAGAGACGCCCTTTGAAGGTTTTTCTTCTCTGTGACCTCTTATGGCCCTGTCGCTTGGTCACATGGGGGACAGCCCCTTCGCGAGAATAATTTCTTATCTTCGTCATGTAAACATCATTTATGTGAAGTTGTTTAAAAGAGTCTCCACTTGAACGTTTCGGAGTCAGATAACGTCAGCGAAGGCAAATTCGTCACATTAGTAAGGGTTTCTGTTAATAATTCGACCAAATAGGCATGTATCAAAATGCCGACGAGCACCAATACAGAAGAAGATTCGACTGAAATGTCTATAAATAAACATTGTTGTAAACACGCCTGAATGACGCCACGCAGCAACATTTGTGACGTCATCAGGCCTTCCGTGGTTTTGCTCAAAGGTGCAGACAGTTTCGCCAATTTTGTATGTTTATGTAACGCAAGCTGTACTGATACGAACAGCTCCAAATGTGTGTGTGTAACAATGATTAACATTGAAGTACATGGCTTTTCTTAGTTGTGATAGTAAGTTTTCGGCCGGTAACTTGAAGAAACTGATTAATGTTGTTTAAGAAAGATGACGGGTATCGGCTGAGATGATGTCAATTTACATGCATGATAAGCAATAAAGACTCAGTCCTTAACAAATATAAACTTCCAAATCGCTGCCCAATATCATATTTTTCATCGGGTCAGGATGAGAGGGTCCAGGGCTTTAAACGATCGAGTATGTAATAAATTTACACTAAATAACAACCAACTGGCCTCAGATTAATGAGTTTAGTTGACGAGATGTCCGTCGCACAGACCAATTTTTTGATTAAAAGTATAGCTTGTCCCTTCTTATACCTCTTCTTGTCAAAATATTTGAAGGCTTTAACTGTGTTGAAGACTATGGTAACGTTATTAACGTCACATCTTATGTATTATGACGTCATATGGCATTTTCATCACAGGGTGGCGAATTTGGGTGCATGGCTAATTTGCCTGTACTAACGTTATATATCTAAAGAGAAATCAAAAATACATTTGAGTATAAATTCTAATCCTCATCATATATAAGCATCATTTTATGGAATGTTGATAAAAATCTACTTATACGTTTAAGTGACCTCCCATCCCCCTTTCTGGTCGCGTTAGCCCCTTTTGAATATAAATTCTGACCCACATCAGATAAGCATTTTTGTTTTTTTTGTGAAATTTTGGTAAAAAATACACCCAACTTCTGGCTGATGATAACCAAAACACGAGGTCGGAAATGTGACGAAAGGCGGTTGCTACACTCAGGTTACCAAAAACACACAGTTAAATGTATTCTTTGTAATTTCATCGACTTAGCGCCGAAGCCAATTTTCAAATTGAATATCGATAAGTTAAACTATCAGGATAGACCACGTTAGATATGATCAAATTGGTACAAATATCCCATTGACGTAAGACATCTCTATATCGAACACGTTTTAAAGTCACTCTAAATCTACAAAAAACACACACAATTGATATATCCTTACAAGTAGCATGGACAGGAACCACGACTGATGACAATGTTTCTATCTGTGTCATGTAGCTGATAATGAACAGGTAAAATACTCATTGTTGTGACCAGTTAGTTCCTCAGCAGAATGTGTGATACTGAAGCTATGTTTTGGGACATTTTATTACTGAAATTGGTTTTTCTGTACATATATTTGTCTAAAACACCGGTCGTAGCCTCGTCTGTCAATACACCTATAATATAATAGTATATGTGTATTGACAGACGAGGCTAGTACCTGTGTCTTAAACGCTATGAATGCATATTTCAGACATGAGTGAAGCATTGTTCGTCAGATGTTTCTGATACTGAGGGATGCCGGCAGAGATGAAAACCTTACGGTCGAACCACAGATACCAGCCTCGTCAAATATATATTACATTATAGGTGTATTGACAGACGAGGCTGGTACCTGCGGTCGAACCATCAGTGATCTCTGCATTAACTCTGAAACCACTATAATTAATGTTTTGAGACGAATATCCCTTCACCTGTACATTTTTATGTGATACACAATGATATGAAAAATCAAAGAATGTTTTTCCGGTTCTTGTCGGCCATCTTAGTTTCCTAATACTAAAATTATGACACACACACGCAATAACTTCTCCGAGAACAATTACCATCTGAGTTACGTCATCGCATTGGGTCAATGGTGCTACTGTTGATAGGTCATATCTGCTTTAACAACCACTGACACTATGACTCCAGACCTCTGTTTTTAGATTCCCAGTGACATGTGCCTACCCTGAACATTCACGTCAAAAATAAATGTCACCAGTTAACAAACAACTGACTTGCATCGATATAGAGTTTCCGGTTACACGAGTCAATCATTCCTAGTATCTGACGTTGTTTACATGGAAGTAATCACTGATCTCTTTTCAATTGAGGGCACTGCAGTGCAGTGCAGTGCAGTGCCCAGGCAAACAAAAGATGGTATTTAAAGAATATCAGTTTCGTACACACCCAGTGATATCTTCACTATAATCTTCCCAAACAGTGCAATGTATGTGGTCCGCAGTGGATGTCTAAATTCACGTCTCATTGTCGTTCAACACATAGTCTGTATAATACTGCAATCTGTTTAAGGTTGTATGTGCAAGTGTTGACACCATGTCACATGTTGTGATACCAGTTACACTGCTGCTAATAATGGGATTGGTAGTCTCAGATAGCGATCACTCCGGACGAGTCATAAAACAAAAGAGTCGAAACCAACCCCGTGAAGGCAGATGTCTGGAACTAAAATGGGGAGGTGTCTTTCGTTTACACTGGTTCAGCTGTTGCAATAATTGTGTAAACGGAAAACCGCTTAAATGTGACGGGAAAACATGGCACTCAGCATCAAATGCCGACTATTGTGGGTTATGTGGCGTTGTTAAGAAAGTAGGCGGTACTGTTAGGAAAGGCGAATTCAGCTGCGGAGGATGTGGTGGTCAGGACAACATCAAACAGAAATGCAGAAATTGGTGGAGGAAAGTTCCAGGATTTTGCTGGTCGTTTTCTAAGTGTTTCCATCATCACTGTTCGAAGAAGTTTGACATTGAGACTGAGTCTGACTCTAAAGATAAAGACGCGACTCCGGACTCGTGCTACAACGGTGTGTGTGACAAGGGAGAAACACCAGAAAACTGTCCAACCGACTGCTGCTTCAAACTCAATAAAGACTGTGATGTACAGAATGGTACGTGGTTACCCGAGTGTTGTGGAGAGATAGGCTGCTGTTTGACCTCAGAGGGTAAAACAAACCTGGCTAAAACAAAACAAGAACTGTAACTATCCAAGTTTTTGAAATAGATAAAATACATATATCTGAATTTGCATTTAATTAATTCTTTTAATTTCACACNTGTTTGACCTCAGAGGGTAAAACAAACCTGGCTAAAACAAAACAAGAACTGTAACTATCCAAGTTTTTGAAATAGATAAAATACATATATCTGAATTTGCATTTAATTAATTCTTTTGTTAATTTCACACCTGCACATTTCAATTAACCAAATGACATTACATCAATTTATGCCATAATATAGGATCATTTGTCCGACTTAACAAATCTAGCTTTAAAAGGGTCAAATACTATGATGGCATGCTTAATGCCTTATAGGTAACTATTAAATTGAATATATCTAAATGTAACTGGGCTGGGTTAGTTCCCAGTGAATGTTTGACAAAGACTGTTCATTAATCAGTTCACGTTTATTCTTGCATGTATATCATCGAATTCCATGAATTAATATCTGTCTGTTATATCTTTACATGGATATCCTGAATTCTGTAACAGATACAAATAAGACACATTTAGATGACATACATATCTCTTACATCTATACTTGCATGCATACATACATTATCATACATACATACATACATACATACATACATATGACCCTATTTATTCAATGTTACTTCAAATAATCTATGAAACCATATCATTCTAACAATACACAATATGTTGGATTTATTAACCTTTACACAATATATATTTACACTTATAAATCTTGGATCGATACAGTCTAAGGGGAGATAATCTACCCCAAGCATTACATTTAGCATTTACTTGGAATGATACTCAAAATACAAACTTCGCCATAATATATAGATATATGTGTACCTGGCTATGGGCCGAATTCCTAGACTCTTCCAATTGTAATCAATATTCAGTCGACCCAGGGTCCTATGCATAAATAAAATACTACATGTTACGATGGTTCTAATTACTCTTAAAACATCTTCACCAAAATAAAACCAATAAATGTACCAAGATATCAATCTCAGTTACTGCAGAAATACAATAAATGCATGAAAATAGTTTTATGTTCAAGCCGTTTAACTTTTTACAACAGATTTGTATTACTTTAAATTCGACATTTAGTCTTCCAACATTTTGTCAGACTCAAGTACATTCAAAAGGTAGCAATTAGATATTTTACAACATTATACAAACTACATGTTAATAGAGAAGAACAAATAGAAACTTACAGGAGTATGAAGCCATGTCCAGGTTGAGCAAAAAGTAGTAGAATAGTAATCCCAAGTGGCTTCTCCAAGATCTGACTCGAAAGTGTCAAATCACACAAAGAAATCTTTCTTACAGACAAAAAGTGGAGGGAAAATGAGGACCAATAAAAACATGTTTCTTTCAATATCTCAACCAATGGTATCATCATCTTATGTCAGGTGATCAATTAGAAGGTTCCACTTATAGAAGTATATGCTTACCTGTATATACCTATACAGGTAAAGTTGGCTCCCCACCACTCACACATGCTCACCTTTCAGATCACTCTAGCTACAGGTTAATACACACACAATGTCATATACATGGACAATACTTGGATAACACATTGTACTTGGTGAAAGGTAAAATGATGTGCTGATGATGATGCTAATAAAATAATACAACACTTAGGATTAAAACTTACTATTTACACTCTTAAGATTTTAACCCTGCCACATAAAGACACGAGGAAGTCTGAATGTATGATACAAAATGAATTTACGACTTTGTTTTCAAAAGTGTATATTTACTGTAATATGAAATGAAACTTATACATTAGGCATTATTTACATACACCTCAAACTTCGTTGGAACCAACAAGGACATGATACCTGAACAGCGTATTAAGATAAGGTTGCAGTAATTATTCTATCACAACATTATCCATGTGTTTGGTTTATGTATATATAAGTCAATGCTGCTTGAGCAAATAACAACTGGCTTCATATGTTAATTACATCCAATACAGGAGGTATTGCGATACACAGTACCTTTTTTTTTTTTATCGCAGACAGAAACTGATCGAAAAGTCAATATAAATTCACAAAAGCATACTAACAGAAAAAAACTATTGAAAACCGATCCTAAAGGGCCGGTTTCCAAATACTATGAAGTATAAAGATTTAGGTCACTTGGTTTGTTTTTTATGGCTCCTCAAAGTTGTACCTTTCAGAAGCTGTCTAAGTGTTGATAAAATGTGCATGTTATGTAAAATATTAATGAAAATCTAATCAAATGATGGTCACCGTAAAGAATACATTCATGGCATGATTGTGACAAAAAATCATGTTTCCATCGCGCCATTTGGCTGTTTTATGGAAGAAACAATCTCAAAAATGCCATTTTCGATGATAACATTTTAGACACAAAAACTGTGTTTTTTAGAGAATACACCCTTTTATGGGCGTTGGATGCAAACCAATTTTTATCCTATTAAACAGTACGTAATATGCTATTGATGAGAGGAAAAATCATCAAAATGTAAGTGGTGGAACATTTTCAAATGTTGGGTTGAATTAGCCTATGGTTGAATTGCCGATTTTCGACTTTCTTTAGATAATTAACAAAAAAACGAGAGTATTTGCTCGGTATGTTGAGAATATGTACACAGATATGAAAAAAAGTGAGAGAAACACTTTTTCATAAAAAAAATCCAAGATGGCTACTTCACAAGTCCCCGTGGTTGAAGACATTGGCTGACAAATAGACAGAACAACAAACAAAACGTGTTCCTTATGATTTTGGTTGGTTTTCGCATTTACGGGAGTGTTCATAGCTACGGGCGATTGTATAATACCTATATTTATAAGTTTGGTTAGTCACATGGTAACGGGGATCTTTCATATCGAGCCCCAAACATACTTTCGACATATGCACTCCGTTGCCGCATGGAAAACTATTTCAAGTTTTGTCGGAATTTCTTTACCTGTGGTTGTAATGGTCGAGGGTTTTCCAGCGTCCTGTAATACCCAAGGTAGTACAAGATACTGGAGATGTGCGCACACATTCCCATCGTTCTCTCTCCAACTGGGCACTGGCAGTAGTAGTCCTTTATTGGGGCCTCAACATCGGGTGAAACGGTGAACCGTATCCAAACGTTATATTTCGTTTGGCTTTTGTGTCGAGAATGTATTTGACATCGGAGAAGGTCTGGGGAGTGCTGGTAAAGCCACACCTCATAGTCTCCGTCATCACTTAAATGTTCGGCGATGTAACCAGGAGCCAGAGATATCTGATACGTTCCACACGTAATGGTTCTCAAGTAATCAAGATCGAGACGGGGAAACAGTACGGAAGATGCATCCATCTTGACAAACTCGGACCTTGCCCGTCTAGATAGATCCGGATCTGTCTTGACTCTCTGAGCTAAACCATTCGGTGTTGTCAAACGGTCCTTCATACGTTCAGCCATTAGCCTATCTTTGGCATCTCTCTCTGGAGATCTCTGGTAGATCGGTCCTCTAATACCATTCAGACAGGCTGTGACGGTTCGAAGCAAAGCCTCGATGACATTGATAAAGCTGTTAGACACCAATTGCGTTCGGAAGAACGTCCAGTGTTTCAGACGACCATGATAGGATTCCACAATCCACCTCGATTTGGTGATAGTTCTGTCAAGATTTGCTTGGACGTCAGAATGTTGACTTTGACCGGGTTTCAGGTATGACGGCATGCTAGCATTGAGGCCAGAGGCTTCGAGAACTGGTAGGACATCTCTAAAACCTCGGTCAACGACAACGTTGTCGTCTGGTTGTAGCCAAGTAACTAGCTTGTCCATGACTTTTTTTGTAATTGTAGCATCATTTTCGCTGCCAGTGAATGGTCCTACTGTGTCCAGAATGTAGCCATCTGGTAAGGCGATGCTCATGAATTTGAGATAGTTTCTCTTCTTCTGGCCACAGTAGGACATTCTCTGGAGCTTGTGGTCGGAGCTTTTCTGGATATAAATATAGGTGCCATCTAATATGGCAGTGGCTTTATCTCCAAAAAATGCTTCTGAAAAGACAGTATTGTGCCCGAGCAACTGTTCTCTTGTCAAGTGATCCGGACCTAGAAATTGTGGGACTATCGATGTGTCTAATGCCTGTACTATGGAGTGGAAAGTTTTGGACACACTTGACTTGGAAATTCCAAAAAGAGAAGAACACTGACTCCAGGAAATGTCGGTTTTCAGTTTTACCCAGAACAGTAATAGAGCATCGTGTGTAGTCTTGGTATATATACCAGATGAAAGATATGGGGAACAGTGCGAGTGGATTTCGAGGAACTGATCTTTGGACCAACCTGTCCAGGCCATGCATGCCGAGTCATCAAGAGAAGAAAAGCTTATTGTAAACGCAGACTGGTTCTGTGAAAGGACGTGCGACACCTCTAGGAGGTCATTAATGATTTCGGACGATTTTGATGGTAACTGAGATTCCAAGGAACCTCTACCATCAAGGACAACCTCTGTAGACGGATCTAAGTCGTTACCAATAAGGTGAATGGAGCAGACGCGGGATGAGGTGGGACACCACAGTTTGTGTGAATAGATCAGGTGATGTCTTGCACGTTTTGGTAAGACTGATGATTTTGTTCCATTTCTTGCAAAGGTAACAAGACAGAGACAGCATTTTTTGTGTGAAGATGATCCATTCAAAAGATCATGAAGGGTCAGCAACGGCAGGATATGGGACGGGGAGTCGTCTTCTTCCTCTATTTCCTGGTTCTGCTCGGGTTCAGGTTCAGGCTGATTTTTGTTCCGAAGATACTTCATGTAGCACTTCTGGCAAATAAGTGCTTGTTCCTTTGCTGACATCAATCCTTGTTGCACCAGCGTATCTAGGAGCCATTTATATTGTGGACTATTTACATTGCGTGCACTTCTGTTCTTATTGCCACTACGTTTCTTGAAGTATACTTGACACCCTTCTCCAACACATTTACCCTCCATCTTGAAACAATAACGATTGGTTTATGAAGCGTCGATAAAGTAACAAAATAGCAAGCCACCGATGATTGCTGTAAACAGCTAATACTTAGTAGTTTGGTACAATTATGCGAAAATGTGTGATAAATAACGAACAACTAATTACACAAAATAACAAGACAATATAATAAATCACATTCAATACCTCCAAGAAGCGCAGAATTGATTGATTACTTAGAACAAAATAAAGTATTTCATATGGATAATCTATCTATTCGATGTGGCGTGGTCGGCAGGCACAAAGAAAGTGAGACAAGTCAGGGTCCCAACCCTGACAGAGCCACAACGCTTTGGAGATGGGACAATAAAACAAGGAAAGTGAGACAAGAATAGCTAGCGTCGAGTCAATGATTCCGTAAACGTATAGACAAAGACAAGAAGATACGGATAAATGTACAAGGCCACACGATCAGAAAATTCAGAAGAGGACAACTTGAGATAGAACAGTATTCATGTATCAGGGTGTCCTCAGTGTAAATCTTTATATCGATACTGTTTATTTAGTCGTTACACATCATAAAACTGTCATGAAAATATCCGCTCTGATATTCAATATAAAAGTTTGTATATAATAAGCTATATAATAGGGTTTCAGACANCCACTGTCTGTATCACCGAATTTCCCCCGTTGCTAAAAGCACGGACTTAGATAGCAATTTAATCTAATCTAATTCTGTGATAATAGTTTGGAACTTGTTTGTTTTGTACTTTTATGCCATTTTCCGAGAACTTCTAAAACGATTCCTATCAGAAAACCCAGCATCACTGATACATATCGTTACAAATGTCTAATACACATATGCTACACTGATATGGGAGGGGCCACGGTGGCCAAGCGGTTAAGGCGTCTGACATTCTGCTACCACTAGCCCTCCACCACTGGGTCCCGGGTTCGAGACCTACGTGGGGCAGTCGCCTTGTACTGGCCGTTGGTCGGTGGTTTTTCTTCGGGAACTCCGGCTTTCATCCATCACCAAAACCTGGCACGTCCTTAAATGACCATAGCTGTTAAAAGGACGTAAAACACCAACAACCGACACTGATATGAGTCACAGCACATATGTATACAATTATGATAGCGAGTTGTCGTCCGCATAGTTATTTAGTGTAGTACTGTCTAAAAATGTCTTATATTATAAATGTATTGAAAACCGGTGGTCCGGGTATGGTTAACTGATAGTTAGGTTCTATAGTCGATAATACAATTGTAGCATTATTTCTGTATTTTTGTATGCCTCGAATATGTTGGATTTCCATAAAGTCATATTTCCAAGACAAACGAAACTTTCAATTCCGATTTTC